AAGAAGAATTCTAAAAAATTAAACAAGGAGGAGAAGGAGGTGAAGTACAAGGAGGAGGAAGAGAAAGAAGAAGGAGAAGGAGCATTCTAGAAGATTCTATGTGCAGGTACCTAGCTAGGAAGACAATTTTAACTTTTGTTCTTATATTTTTAGGCCCTGAGCAATAAATGTTTCTTATGGGTAAGAGCTGAGTTCCTGTGTTTGTAATTTCTCATAACTCCTTGTGTATAGTTCCCCAAACTGGAACAATCTAGTGAGAAATAAAAGTGTTGTTTTGCTCAAGAAAATGCAGGGAACGCTGGATTAAACAAAATAAAGTGAGTCACTCTACTCCAGGCTTCTCAAACCTTTAGTATACATTGTGAATCTCTAAAAGTGGGGCAAGGTGGGCAGAGACTTCCATCTTTATTTAACCATGGAATTCCCTCCCCTGGAGTACTGACCAATGTAGAAGCCACGGTCCATGAGTGCTACTTGTGTGTCCATCACTGCTCCTATTCCACTGTACTGTACAAATTCTAGGGAAAATGGACTAGGAAGTTAAATCTAATTGAGAAAACTTTTCAGAAAATCACGAAACCAGAAGATAAAATGTACAGGAAAAGATAAGGAATATAGACAATAAAGGAAAGTCCCCATGTCTGAAAAATGAAAGTTTTGAAGACCAAAGGAATATGGAACCATACCGGCAGAACAACTAGTCTGTTACAAGAAGAGATATCGCTAAGAAATCAATTGAAAGTAGCTATGCTTTCCACATCCTAATCTGTAATAGAAGAGTGGATAACAAAATACTGCTTTGATATTGTCATGTCGACAGCCACATTCCTCATTGTGGTGGAGACCACGATTTGGCCCTTAGCACTTATTCCAGTACTCTTCTCTCCTCCAGTGCCTTCTTATAGCACAGAATATGCTAATATTTGGATTCCTAAGCAGAGACTAGAAACTTCTAAGGTAGTGATAAATACCTTTAGGGAAACAAATATGAGCCTGACGTAGAGTTTCTCAACCTGGGTGCTGTTGCTATCTTTGGATAGATAACTATTTGTTATTATCAGACTATACTATGCTATGTACCAGGTTTAGTGGCACCCCTGGGCTCCCCCCAGTTGATGCCAGTAGCACTTTCAACAATCCAACAATCTAAAATGGCTTAAGACTTTACCAAGTGTTTCCTGAGGGGCAAAATCACCTTGGTTGAGAACCACTGGTTGATAATTGAATGCAATCGCTGTAAGAATAATAAGAGAGGCATAACTTGTAAATCAATAGATCATTCCAATAAAAGGCAGGAAATACACTCTCATGTACATGAAACCAAAGGAAATTACATTAAATAAAGAATATCAAGAAAGGGGGCAAAAAGAAGTCCTAATATAATAGTAAGTACAATAAATGTAAATATACTATCCTAACCAATTAAAAATCTGAGACTCACAGATCAGAATAAAAACACACACACAAAGAGTCACACTTAAAGACAGAGAAGGATTGACAATATAGGAAGGAAAAACAGAAAGCAAGTATGAAGTAGAAGAAAACTGAGATACTAGCAATCTCAGCATTTAGAAAACAGAATTCAAGGCAAAGAGTATTATAAGGGAGCCCAGTGAATCTGAAATAATAAGCTATAATAATTCAGAGTAAAAAGGTCTAAATATCATGAACATTTGTATACCTAAGAAACAGCATCATCATCTACAAAATATATAATTTATAGATGTGAAAGTAGATGCTATGATTTAAACATGGTTTTTCTCCTTCAGAACTCATGTTGGAGATTAATCTGCATTGTGAAATATTAAGAACTGGACACTTAATCTGAGCATAGTGTTTAGAGGTAGGGTCTTTTGGAGGTGATTAGGGCTAGTCAAGGTCATGAGGGGGAACTTCCATGATGAAATACTGGTGGTTTTAAAGAAGAGAGAGAGAGAGAGAGAGAGAGACTGGAGAAAACACACTGCAAAAGTTTGGATCTTAAATATCCCCCAATGGACCATGTAATGAAGGCTTAGCCCCAGTTTGGTACTACTGGAAGGTTGTGGACTGTAAGAGGTGGAGCCTAGTTGGCGATCATTCAGCCACTGGGGGTGTGCCCTTCAAGGGAAAAGCAAGCCCACAGTCCCTTTCTCTTCTCTTATTTCCACTTTCTGGCTATGAGGCAGCAGCTTTGTTCCACTATATGCTCCCCATCATGGTGTGCTGTCTCACCATAGGCCCCCAAACAATAGGGTCAAACAAAGGATTGAAGTCATAAGCCCCAATAAATCTTCTCTTTAAAAGTTGGTCATCTCAGGTATTTTATTACAGCAATAGAAATTTGACTCACACATACAAGCATACACCTGTTTGTGTGTACACAAGTACTCCCTATTTCTTGCCATGTGATGCCCTGTGCTGCCTCAGGACTCCACCAGATTTGGCCCTTTGATCTTGGACCAGAACTATGAGCCAAAAGAAATCTTCTTTTCTTTATAACTTACCCAATCTCTGTTACTGTTTTATTAGTAATAGAAAAGAGATTAATATAGTGGACACAGATTAAAAGTTTTTGCTAGATTTTAACATACTTCATTAAAAAATGAAAGAACAAGGAAACAAAATTGTGCAAGACCCTGGGCTCCATCCCCAGCACCAAAAAATAATAGAACAAGATTGAACTTTATATATATATATATAATCACAAACAACATAGACACACATGTATAAATATTATTATAAATGTATATATCTATCTATCTACATATATCTATATAGATACACAGAGAGAGAGAGAGAAAGAAAGAGAGAGATTGAGAAGGAGAGAGGTGATCCTTACTTTGCACAGTTTCCAGTTAACTGAAACCTGTGTACATCAGAGTTACACCCTTTGTAGGTCCTTTGGTAACTCTTACCCCTGTAACCTCATTTTTATGGAACTGTACCAACTGGGGACACAGTTTCAGTATGCATAAGGTTCAGTTAACACAATGCTATATACATACACAGGTGTACACACACAAACATACATCAAGAAGGTAGAGGTCACAGAAGCAGCCTTAAAAAATTCCAAAGAATCAATTTGAAAAAGACTATAGTCTCTAATCTCACACAGGGAGAGAAACCCAGAAGATTTGAAAGAGAGTGTACATTCCCAGGCATAATCTATCAGCAACCTTCAATAATGCAATTTCAGATAATTTTAAATTTTAATTTTTGTTATCTCTTGATAGGTAGAATTTTGAATGCATAAATGTATTCTATTTTCATTATGTTTTAAATTAATGAAAAAATTCTAGCGTGGAATTAGGGTAGCATGGTGTAATAATGAATGTGATTTATTAAAAATGTAACTAATAAGAGATATTTTTGCACATTATAAACTTATTATACCTACTTTACCTATTCAATTATATTTTCCTGATTTTAATTGCATATTTATTTCACATTTAAACAGCTTTCATAAGGGCTACTTCCAGTGGAGTAAAAGGAATGGATCTTTTTAAAAACTTATATTCTTAAAAAGAGTTTTATGATGCTAGATCTTAAAATATTAAATGTAAAGAGGTAAAAATATTTGTGTAGATACTTTCTCATTAATTAATATTACATTAATATAACATTCTAATGATTAGAAATATATATTGTATCCATCACATTATGTCTTCTAAACCAATTATATTACCTTATTCCCTTAGTGTGAGTAAGAGTCAGGTATTGCTGAATCTTTAACCCTAAGTATAAACAAATGAATAATTAGGTTTTATTTGTGAACATCAAGTAGGCACTACTGGGTGAACAATTGTAAAACTATTTATTAGAGGTACTGATTTCCATCATATCTGTCCCTATGCACTTATTTTTGACCAAATGATAAGCTTTTACACATTTACTAACCCTTAAAACATCATTCTTCAGGTCCCTAATGGTTAGGTCCGAAGCTTTTGTTGATAATGAACAACTATAACAATGTTCATGTAAGGGCCAAGTCTAGGCTGAAGAAGCCTAGAAATTAGAGCTATTTGCTACAGTGCATTCAGAGAATAAAGCTACTTGACAAGACCAACCAAGAATTGTATACTGGTTGCCAGGAAATAAATGCATGTTATCTCACTGATCCTGAGAAGCAAGCTCCATTTTGGAGATAAGGAACCTATTATAATTTGGATCTGGAGTATCCCTTGAAAAGTTCATGTTCGAAAGCATGGATACCTAATGTAGCAAGGGTCAGAAGTGGGGCTTTTAGGCAATGGCAGAATCATGAGGACTTTGACCACATCAGTGGATTGATCCATTTGATGAATTAACCCATGGATAGCTGAATGAATTACTGGGAGATAGGACCTAATTGGAGAAAGCAGATCACTGGGGGCATGCCCTGGAAGGGTTATCTTTTCCCTGTCCCCTCCCTC